ACACAATACATATCCCATGTCACCACTTATCCCCCCCCCCCCCACACACACTTTATTTATTTTGTAATTGCAATGGATGACAACACATTACGAGCTAAAGCGGTAATTAAAAACCTATTATGTGCAATATTCTCAATACATAGAAATGTTGAAAATCTTATAAAAACAAATAAACAAATTGTTGATTGCAAACAATAGTTCAGTAAAAAATAAAAGAACAAACTAAGTACGAAGAATCACGTTTATCTAAAAATATATGTTTAAGAATAGGTATAGATCCCAAAGTGCGGTGAATCTAGAAACGAGGGGAGGTGGTAAATATCGGTAGGATGAAGTTGGTGAGGTGGCCGCTGCCTTTTGGCGAGCTCCAAGGCGACCTTGTTAGATCTAGCGTGCCGCGACGTGGTATAGCATGGTACCATTTACTATGTGTAATGCTAATAAATTATTGTATACAACAACAAGAATACACAAAGCTTATAATTTTTTATGTTAAGAGTGAGCCCAATTCAAAGGAAATTAAATGCCCAAGTTTCTTTCATCCTTCCTACCTCCTTTAAATTGCAACATTAGAGCAAAATCTCGATTTACTAATCTCATAATACAATAAAAAAATAATATTCCTCGCAAGAAAAGGCATACATATGTAATTGGCTTGGATATAACAGGGCGGACTTGATCGTTATATGACTTTTTATGGAAGTAAGCAAAAATGACTCTGCTGGTGGTATGATATGATAATGAACACACTGAACTAACGAAAGTGTAAGCATGAGCTGAATCCTTACCTTTAAATACCTGAAAGCATCCTTAGAATATTTTCACTTCACAATAATAAATATAGTTGCATACAGATTAATAACAAAAATGATCAGGAAGCTAAGCTAATTTTTTTAGTACGATGAAAATATGACATGTTCTGGGAGGCACCACTTTATGGCCTGCAAAGAGAAAATCAACAAGAATTTTAGTTATAAGTAGATTAGTAACAAAATTGATACGGAAACTAAAATTTTTTAGTAGAATGAAAACATGGCATTTCTTGTTAGAGAATTTTTTTTGCAACTTTAAAGAGGCAAAGTAATATGTAAATGTCAGTAAGAGAATCAGAAAAAAGCAGTATTGAGCATTGACCTTAGCAAATATGTAAAATGGCAGTCAGATCGATCTGCATGTACCATATAGTAGTCGATCACTATGCCTATATTTGGAAAGAGGAAACATGTCATGCCAGTCCACCCAAAATTGTGGATGCTTCATGATATACATTTTTTTAAGCACCAATAATTTATAAGGAATTGCTTCTCTTGATACATCTTCTGTGACAACAACCATGTAGAAGCTAACCTTGATGTATCAAATTTGCGTTCGAGAGCGTTGGTGCCATCAAATTTTCATCGGAGCTTTGTAGTCCTTCGTTTCAAATTTCAACACCAAAAGCTCCCTTTGTCCAGCGTGCGGATTCTACCATGCTGAAGCCGTGGAGGGTGCGCTGTCTTTGGATCTCCTGGCCCAAGTAGTACTCGACAGCGTGCTCATGCAGGAATCGGCAGCATGTAGGCTCGTGGAGCGAGGAACAGGACGACCACCGGCTGCAGCATGGGTTATATGATATCTTCCTTTTGATGCACGGCCATGGAAACATAACTAACCCTACAAACAACTCTCACATAAACCATGAGTTAGTACACAAAGCGTAATGGACAATGCTTACCATACCATGAGATTACATGATCTCGCTTGGTACATATTCTATGCTTTGTGTGTTGATCAACTTGAATCACTCTTTGTACTTAGTATTGACCAACCTTGAATCTTTCCAATTCTCTTCATTAAGATGATGTCTTAAAGGTAAACATGAATGTTCGCATAATATTCTTCTTTAAGACGTGCTTGCAATAGGCTCAACTCTCACGTGACCAATCTTTGAATAGCACCTTGGTCAACATATATTCTTCTTCTAATAACCTTGAAATCAACAAATGGTCTTCAAGCAATGCCTATGGACAAACCCTTCAAATATAACTTAAAGCCACCATTAGTCCATAGAGATTGTCATCAATTACCAAAACCACAAATGGGGGCACCATGCTCTTTCAATGTTCAACTCTGCCACATTCTTCATAGAAGTGTCCAATCTTTCCATATTGCCATGTTTTCTTTTCTTCCGCGATATTATTATTTTGAGATTGAGCAAGAATTATTATTTTAGTCATAATTTCTGTTTTTGTGGGTCGCAACTACAAGTTTTCAAGGGGTTGCACCTGTAAGTTTTGAATGGGGTCGCAACTTCAGTTTTTCAAGGGGGTCGCAATTGGAAGTTTCCAAATGGGTCACAACTGCAAAGTTTTCAACGAGAGTTGCAACTGCAAAGTTTCAAGTGGGTCGCAATTACAAATTTTCAACGATGTCGCAACTGCAAGTTTTAAAATGGGTCGCAACTTCAGAGTTTTTATGGAGAGTCACAACTACAAGATTTTCGATGGGGTCGCATTTGCACGTTTTCAATATGGGATCTATCACAACTAGGAGTTTTCAATGAGATCACAACTGCATGTTTTCAAGGGATGCGCAACTACAAATTTCAAGGGGTCACAAATGCAATCGAAACTGCAAGTTTTCAAGGCGATGTGACCTGCAAGTTTTTGACAGTGTGTCAACTACAAGTTTTCTAATGGGGCGCAGTTGCAAGTTTTTAAATGGGGTCGGAAGTTCATGTTTTCAAGGGGAGTCACAACTACAAGTTTTTAAACAGGGTAGTAACAACAAGTTTATAAATAGGGTCGTAACTGCAACTTTTCAAAGGGGGCGCAACTAAAAGTTTTCAACTAGTTCAAAACTACAATCTTTCTAGGGGAGACGCAATTGTAAGTTTTCAATGGGGATCACAACAATAAGTTTTTAAATGGGGTTCACAACTGCAAGTTTTCTAATGGGATCATAACTTCAAGTTCAACGGGTTGACAATTCAAATTTTTAGGGGATCGCAAATGCAAGTTTGCAAAAGAGGTCGTAACTTCGTGTTTTCAAGAGGGGTTGCAACTTCAAGTTTATAAATGCCCCATAATACTTGCATGTGATTTTGGGCATGTTTTGTGAACTAAACATGCAAGCCTGTAGAATTTATGTGTCTTCCGTCCTTTGTTTTACACAAGCATTGATATTATATTATTTGGGTTTCCTACGTTCTTATGTTTTTTAGGGGAAGGCCATCATGGCTAACTTTATTAAACTCAAATCACAGCTACATCATCTGTAATAAACTTAATGATAAACTACGGGGGTGAATCAAACCAAATCGAAGGTTGGTTTTCACGACCCCAGCTAGCTAGCACATGCGCTACTACATTAGGTTCCTATTACAAAACTCGACACAAGTCTTCCCGAACTCACTTAAATCTCGACGACAGTCTTCTAGAATAAGGGCTGCAACCATAGAGTATCCTTCGTCTTGCTTAAGAGCTTGAACCACTGTGATATTATCCATGCGTATGAGAACATTGTTGCGTCCCAACCGATTGACCAGCTTCAAGCCTTTCATACAATGCTGCGTGAAAATGAGCAAAACTGACCCTTTTCTGAAAGTTCAACACAAAATGGCCTCAATCTGAAAATATTTTATAAAATGTCCCTCTTTTGCATCACGCCCCGGGCTGGGGCGCCATGCTAAAGAGTATGACGCCCTGGACTAAGGCGTCATGGTTGTGACATGTAGCATGGCGCCCCGGGCTAGGGTGTCATGCCAAATAACATGACGCTCTAGCCCGGGGCGCCATGCTATCTAGCATGACGCCCTAGGCCCGGGCGTCATGCAAATTTGTGAAATGTTTTCAGAATGAGGTCATTTTGTGCTGAACTTTCGAATAAGGGCCAGTTTTGTTCATTTTCATCAATGTTGCGGCCTCCGCTGAAACGACATCGTGAACATGCGCTAATTTTGTTGTTGCCGCTGCCAAAAATGGCTCATTATGACCTCGAATCACTGCACCGCAAGACCCTGCAAATTCTACTTCGTAAAAGGAGGCATCAACGTTTAGAATAGTTTGGCCCAACATCGCCCTTCTCCACTGATTTAGGAGTGGGGATGTTGCTGGTTTCCCTGCAGCCCTAACGAAATTCAACATCAAAGTCTGAATTGTTGGCCCCGTGCGTACTGGTGTTAGGACATCCTCTGCTCTGACAATGCATCGCCTCTGCCACAGTCTCTGAAAATCGGACCGGATCCATGTATGCCCCTTGGACTGCCGGGTCACATAGCAAGTTAAGGCCAGTAAAACTGAACCTAAACCAAGCCATCTCACCCTATTTGCTCTGTAAGCCGTTGGACTTCGTGTGGGAGTCATCTCCAGCCCTTCGATCAGCCGTTACACACACATTTTTCGCTTCATGGGCTGGCTGTCCTTAAGGGAGGCTACTCCAGGAGAATTTTCTGAGGCCTGTGGTTGATTGGACCTCTCCCGCACGAAGCCCATCCCAGCTTCGAAGGAGGCATTCAGCGACGTTTCGCTTCGCACGGCCCCTCGCTCCACTCCAGCCCCATCCTTTCCACACCCGGCCTCCTGTAAATCTCTCTCGGCATCGGGCGATCCCTAGGCGGCGTCGCCGCCGCCACCGCCCCGTCACCGCTGCCACGAGCATGCCTTCCCCCGTAAGCCACCTGCTCTTGGTTCTTGGCGGCAGCACAAGATCACAAGAGGAGGGTAGGGTGCTGTGGCGGCATACGAGCGCAAGAGGAGAAACGGGCCCTTTGCATCTATGGAAGACGGCGCTTCCATCTTCACCCAGCCAGCGTCGCGACCCATCTTCTCTTACCTTTCCACGGGCTAAGTAGTGGGATCCAGATCAGAAGAAGGCCCTTCACGAAGGTGCATCCACAACCTCTCATCTCCTTTTCCCCTCACTGTCATGGCTGCCCCATTCCAAAATCTAGCGTATTCACCATATGCAACTTGTCTCACAGTTTAGGAAGAAGCCTTATCTGTGTAACAGGCGGAGGTTGGAGTAGGGGAGGAGGAGATCATGTGCAAATAATCATAATTTTCCCTGATGTGCATTACGTAGAACCTGTACTATCAACACCTGTACCGTGAGGCAGGCACAAGGTGCGGCCTATCCTCGCATGCAGAGGTTTTACCTTGTTAAATTCTATACAATTATGCAGAACCTATAGCCCATGAATGACACACTTTGTTTGGACATGTATATGTTGGTTATCCCTTAATGTAGTTTCAGAGTTAGGAGTTTACCATCACACTATTTTTAGGCAAAGACTAATCCTCTCATGCAGAGATTTTACATTGTTAAATTCTAAGTGATGAAGGCACTCCGGCGGCAGGTACATGTTGGACACTCACGATGAGCCGACCAACTGCAGGAACAGGAAGGCGATGGTGAACGAGTCGCCACCGCCATCGCAGGTCCTGAACCAGTGGATCACCTTCTGCGCTGACAACTCCCTGAGTGAGCGCGTCAGCGAATGGCTGAGAAGCGTCGAGTGCGAGTGCGTCCGTGAGGATGAGTAAGACGGTGGTGATGACCAGTTCTTCCACCAAGCAATTGCATTGTCCCGGTGTTCTCTTATTCCAAAAAAACATTGCATACAAGTGATGTTCATGCTGGCTGTGGTCAACTGATTTTGGCAGATTATTGAGCTTGGTGATCTATTTATTTGATTATGCATGACTGTGCGATCAGTACCAAAAGAACAGACATACTGACAATGTGTATCTTCAGTAACTGATGAGTGATGCTTACTTACGTATACTGTTTCAGATTTGGAGCCGGAACAAGATTTGTTGTCTTTGGTTATAGACTTACCGGTACACTTTTCTTTATCTCCCTTTAATTTTTTATTTGTCCTTTGTATTCCAGTTTAAATTATGGTGTCCATAATACTCTGATATTCATTTCATTTATTTTGTTTTGCGAAGGACTTGCCAATGGGCTTCTGGAATTGAATATTAGCAAGGGCAGCCTTGAAGATACTCAGACGATCTTAACTTGTGGCTCTTTTTTCTTTTTGCTTGACTGCAGTATCTTCTCATTTCTTATGCCATAATCAAATATTATTGAGAGCTTGCCAAATAAATAGACCATGGGCTAATGAAAAGTATTCAAATGCTTATGTACTGACCACATCAGGACATTTACACTTAAAGAGATTCGGGTCTGTTTACTGAAGCTTGTCAGTCTCACTCTTTGCTATTGCTAATGATTTTTTGATAATAATTAATTGTAAAATAGCTGCCAGTGCATCTATAATGAATCATCAATTGCCATGACATCAATAATAATTGTCAGGACCTTGAATTTCCTGCCAAAACGCGTTAATTTCTTTTATGATGACTACTTATGCTATTATCACTAGAGAGGGTGGACAAAGTGGGACGTGCGACATATGACTTCACATATCACCTTCACAAGCAATCATAATATACGTTCCAAACAGAATATGTGTGAACAATATGAACGGTAGTAGATATGTGTCCCATAATATATGTCCCATAAGCCTCCTAGATACTCTTGTTCCTGTGCCTCTGCCGTTTCTTACTACTAGCATTAAATAAAATCTGTAGCTAGAATTGCCTAAAGTACAATTCATGTTTCAGTTACGGTTTATGCATCTTGGCCATGTTCCAAACTTTCTAACGATAGAGGCAGAGTATGCTTTGTAAAAAAAGGATTATCATCACAAAATTTCTTGACACCTAATGTTATATATTTTGAACATACGAAACCCAATCTTTCATTTGTAGTTTGCATACTAACAACATCCATTGCTATATGTCTCACCATATCAGTAGTTGAATCTTCATTTTGTTTTTGTGTCAAAACTGCTTCAGTACTTCTCACTTTGTATGCAAAGGGGAAATGGTTTCTTAGTTCATTTATGAGAAACAATAATTTACATTCTGGAAATGTTTTGAGTAAATCCAAAACAGTCATTTAATGGCATTGTCTGTATTGTCAGTTGTGTCGTTGGAGACTTGAAAATGTATACAAATGTATCAGTCTCTCTTTTCTTTAAGGTTGTATGTGGCCGCATATGTGGCGAGCGGAGAATTGCATTCATGGAATGGCATTTTCAAGCTTAGGCAGCTGCATTACACAAGGAGCACTTCAGTCTTGCGGATGCAAGACTAGATATGCTACTATTTTCCTGCCATAACTGTGCCATGTAAGCAAGGTACACCTTTGTTGTGCTTTTAATGAGAAAAAAAAACTAACTGGTATAGCTGATGATCTTTGTCAACTATATTTGCATGCAGCATGTTTCAGTTATTATTAATTAACTGCTATGTTATGCACCCTTAGGGCCCTTATGTCTGTCTTAAACCTTTGGTCACATCGTCTCATGGCAGAATGTGACAAGGAGGACGTCTCCGCGTGGGGTTCCTACATCTCTGCATGCTGCGTCGTGCCTTTGTAATTCTGTGCTTGCTGCCTCGACGGTGTTTGAATAATATATTCAGGTGTGATTCTAAAAAAAAGTCACGAAGGATAATCGATTGGGACCACACTAGCATTCACTATTGGTCTGCATGCTATTATTCTAATACATTTCTAATGCCCCTCCCTTTGTAATTACTCTTGAAGGAAGATTAATTTGGCCTGATGCTTATATTCTCACATAGATAAATCTCTAAACACACACACACACACACAAACACACGCACGCACGCAGACACACACAGTAATACTATTCATATATATATTTATATTTTATTCATTAGCTTTATTTGCACGCAAAACTACATATTTTATTCACAAATCTGCCAAGGCAAGGCCATGAAGTTGTCATCCTGTAACACATATTTAATTTTGTTTCTTGGTCAATTTACATACCATTCTAATTGGATAAATATGGGTAAGAAAACGCCCGCCATTAAGGTTTGTATTAGGGTTCAAGTTTAATATAAACAAATACGGCCCACAACCAGGCCAATGGAGGCTCGATGGAACTTTCATTACGCACTCTCTGTTTTCAAAATAAAGAGGAACTCCATGTTTTACATAAATTTCTAACCCTATCAAACAACATTCAAAATGGACGGGCGTGGCCACGCACACCATCAATGATCTAGTACTCGATGATCATGGAGCACGATGGATCAATCTTTACCGCCTCGTCAATTAACCTCCTCATCCCCAGTACCTCCCAGACCGAACGAGCCATATCACATTTGAACAAAGCATGTGGTATGTCCTCAGCTCCAGATTTACATATTCCTATATTTGCAAAACCCTGCGAAGCAAACATGCTTTTACTTTTGCGTCCCAGCTCGCATCCCCCCAAAAAAATCCCAACTCACCTTTTTAGTGGCAAAATAATATCCCAACTCATAGCCAATGTGTACGTGTTGTATTGGGCCTAAAAAGGTAAGCCATGCATGTACGTGGAGAAACCAGGCCAGATGTGCATGTTGGGCTTAGCTATGGGTAGTCAGGTCATTGAGTCGAGTAGAAGATTGAGCCCATTTAAAAATGCAATGACGTCAGCCAACCTAGAGAGAGAGTTATTTTTTACTCGGCTGAGTTTCAGGCGCTCCTAATTTTTCTCAAGAATAGAGTAGAAATGAATCCTATGAAAAATCCCTAGGTTTTCAATTCCTCCGAAAAATTCTATGGAAATCCTGAATGAAAGAGCCCTAGAGGACAACTCACATAGTCTACATATCCATGCTTATTGCATAAAATTGTGTGAGGTTGCCCATAGAAAGCGTCGGTGAGGTGGTGACTTTTGAGAATCAAATCATTTTTACGTTGTTTAACAGATTCATTTTATTTCCTTATAAAAAGAATTTATATCCCAACATTCTGAAATACAACAATATTCTTAACAATCACATCCCACCACGCAGTAGCACAAGACATAGGCATTTTTTCATGTAATTTATGCAAAAATGTGGCTTCAGCTACTGAAAACAATTGTTTGTATATATCAGATATTAATGCCTCACTCGACTCGTGAAATTTGTTCCAAAGATAAAGAATAATTATATGTGTAAATACACATTTTAAATTATTTTCCAACATGTACGGAAAGCTTTTATGTATTTAGAAATAATATTCAACCCATTAAAATATTGTTCACTTAAATTACACGGCAAGACAACATTTAATGTACTATGATTTTCCTTTCTGTATTGAAAACATGGAAAAAACAGTTTGAGCAAATAAGATTATAAATAAATTAAGAAAAAGGAAAAATAAAAATAAGTGAATAGAGAAAAGATAAATAAGAATAAGAAAATAATAATCAAAAAACACTAATGCTAATCGGAGAAATGCTCTATACTATAACTGGACTAGCTGAAGTACAAACATGGGTCTTAGAGATCATTTATTTCCTCGCAATGACCTGGGGAATGATTTGCCCTAGTGAGAAGGTTATTTCTTATTTTCGCCTTTTCAGTCATAATATTATCTTATATATTTCTCACAGATTTAAAAAACAGATTTTCTGAAATATGTTAATGTCTTTATAAAATGTTCACGTTTGGAAATGTGTTGACATTTGTTTATATGTTAGTTTAACACCAATGATGTTAAACATATACTTTTGGGACTCATGCACACCGAAGCAACCTTATTGAACGTTAAATCACTCTTCTTTTTTTCTTCTTGTTCTTGTTCTTCCTCCTTCATCTACTATACATGATTCCCCATTGCAACTTGCCGTCAAAGTCAATGGCATATCCGGCTCACAATCCCCCCTCACAATTCTTCATATTCCTCCTCCTCCATGCACTATGTCGGCTTCAAATTAACTATTGTTTTGTCGATGAAGGTGCTACAGTAGCATGTGTGGCAGGCATGTCCTAGCGGAGCCAGTAGCAAGAATCCAATGGAGAAAGCAGTAAGTACCAAATATAACAGAAACAATGCAACAAAGATGAAGGTATTCAGAAATACACATAGCAACATTAGGGTGTTATCACAATGGTAAACATGCAGGTGTAATTCAACGAAAAGTGAGGAGCCAAAAGATCTGTTCGTACTAAAAATAGGTGCCTCACCAGACAGGATATGCAAAATTCAAACACAACTATCCAAATCAGTTCTGAACAGACCGTCGTGAACCTTAATAATGTAATTGCGCAGAAGTTGCGAGATTGTATATTCTTCTTTCGGCATTAGCTATGCATTGTTGAGAGAGTTTTCCAAATGTAGCGCCCATATCCTTGGAATTGTGATCCTAGACATAGTTTGGAAACAACGGAAGGATAATGTACAACAAAAAATGTCATGTCACCAGCAGAACTTCAAACTCAACAACAAATGACAGACACAATATGTAATGTCTTATCCTCTCCGGCTACAAGGTCTTGGCCATCCTCTCATGGATCACATTACCTAAATCCAAATTACTTTAGTATTTGCACGCATATGAATTAGATCTCAATGAATCAGGTAACGAAAGTGGGATTTGGAAAATGCAAAAGCATCGAACGACATGTAATCTATTCTTTCAGAAGAAGAAAAACACCAAAGATCAACGGGCTTACAAAAACTAACCAGTCTAGGGAGTAGTGTAGAAAAGGGTTGACGAAAATCAACAGAGGCGTCGTTGGGTGTTGTCCTACTCTAGGATTATGAGATAATGCTAAGTTCACTTCTTTATCTTATGCTTCCAGATCTCTCATATATCCTATTCTCCTTCCTAACGAACTCCCTTCTCATTCCCTTGGCACCGTTGAAACCGACTTTTCTGTACAAATAAAAACAATATTTTTGGAGAAATGAAGAATAGCGGATATTAGTAGCTTTAGCAAAATCTCATAAGCAACTTCACATCAAGGAAATTCCATCTTGGTCACTTTCATAAAATAAGAATAAATGGATAGCCCAAATGAAAGGATCGAGAAGAGGTGTCTAGAGGGGGGGGGGTGATTAGTCCCTCAACAAACAAAGTTGGCAGTTTTTAGGTTTTTCAAGTTGAGGTGGTAGATTAACA